TTGTTTTTCACTTTGTAAATATTTTTATAAATTTTTTTATTCTTAATTAAATGGATTGTAATATAATATATTAAATTATATAGTGTAATATAATATAGTATATATTATATAATTTATTATACATATAATTATAATTTTTAAAATTATAAATGTATTTTTGAAATTTGTGAATATTTTTATGTCCTTTTTTTATTCTAATTAATTAATATTTTACTAATATTCTAACTAATTAATATTTAAATAATAATAAATAATAATAAATAAAAATAAATAATATCTAAATAAATAATATTACTAATATGGCAATATTAGTTATGGTAATATTATTATAATATTATATTAACAATGGTAATATAATATAAAATCAGGTAATATCAGTGGCAATATAATATATATTATAATTTATAATTATATATTATAATATATTAAAATATAATAAATATTGTATATATAATAAATTATATATATAATAAAAATGTATAATAAAATTATTAGATAAAAAACCTTATTATAAACAATCAACCGTAATAATAATTTTACCAACGAGAGGGAGAAAGGGAAATTAACTTTTCATAATCCACAACTATTTAATCTACCAAACTAAATAATTCTAAAGCACACCTAACAAAACATAAAATAAAATGATTCAATGTAAACGATTAAAACTGACCCAGCAAATTTAAAGAAATAACAAAAAACAAAAACAAAGAAAAAAAATCTAAATGAAGAACATCGCTAAAGAAAAAAAAAACCAAAAGTAAAGAAGAAAAATATTCTTTCTTACTCAAACCGTAACAAAGTTCGATATTATCGACCAAATAATTTTCTTTCCTGTAGTAAAGGGGTTGCAGGTTGACGATTGGGTTGCAGGTACCACTACCCAAGTGGTGGTAGTGGTATGAAGAAGATTCCGCATTTTAGTTCTCAACAAAATAAATTCAAATGAAATTACAAATGTAATGTAATACTCATTCTCACTTAGGTTAACAAGGGAAGCTTATTTCCCCCTCTCTTTCATCTTTGTTCAACTCATTCGTTTCAAATAGCCACTCCTAAAGCTCCGTGTCCATACTCGCACAATCGATCGATCGAATAAAACAACTACTACTACTACTATTACGAATATGAACTATGACTATGACTATGACTATGACTATGACTATGAACTATGATTATGTTTATTACGACGACAAACCTCCCCTCTCCCTCCTCCTCTTCCTCCTACTCCTCATGGAATCTGGATGGCCAAGAAGAAAAATCTGGATTTTCTTTATCGCATGATCAACACTTTAATAGATGATTGCGAGAGGAAAAGTGAACGGTAATATCGGTGATCTCTTTAACCTAACCCTCTACCTTACCCTACCCCACCTTTCCTCCTATTTTCCTTCTCCTTCTACCACGTCATCGTCACCTATCATACGTATTGATCGATTCACGTGTGGAATTATTAAACATACGTGCAAACTATATTTTATCTTGTTTTTTCATTTTTTTTTCTTATTCGTTCCATTATGCTCGCTCTAATTGTTTAATATTCTAACGCATTATTCTTATGTTTGTTTTTATTATATTTGTGTGTGTGTTTCATATATATATCATGTATTTTAATTTATATTTAATTGAATGAATGTTTTTTTTTTATATATATGTGCCCATAATTATGAAAGTGGTCTAAGTCATATATCTCTTGTTTCGAGATATTTAAAGATATCTATTTGAAACACTAAATGAATTCTATGTAATATTAAAAAAAAAAACACTATCTAACGACTCATTTTTGACAATATCGTAAAAATTACATGGAATTTATTTAGTTTAAAATAATGTGGTGCTTAAAAACTAATAAACTCATTTTTTTTTTAATTTTGATTTAGACCACTTTCATAATTCTGAGCACATATACGTATTTTAATTTATAATTAATTGTTATTATTCTAAAGCATTATTCTTATGTTATTTTTTTTATTATTTTTTTAATTAAAAGTATTATTATTATAATATTAAAATTTTGTATTTTGTATAGTTATGTTTTAGTAATTAATTAGTTTTTCTTATATACGTTATTTTAATTTATATTTAATTAGATATATATTTTTTTATAGGTATTTTAATTTATATATCTAACTCTAATAATATTCTAACGCATTATTTTTATATTTCTTTTTATTATTTTTCAATTAATATTATAATATTAAGATTTTTTTATTTTGTATCGTAATATTTTATTAATTATTTAATTTATTATTTTAAATGTATTTTAATTTATATCTAATTCAATAAATGATATTAATTTAACATCATTTTGTATCGTTATGTTTCAATAATTATTTTGTTATCTTATACATAATTTAATTTGTTGGTTTTTATTACTTTTTCAATTAAGAGTATCATTATTATAACATAAAGATTGTTCATTTTGTATCATTACGGTTTACTAATAATTTGTTATTTTATTTGTAATTTAATTTATATGTAATTGGATAAATGATATTTATTTAATATTTCATAATAGATATTAATATCTTTATTGGTCAAAATTACATTTATAGATCACTTCAATTTTTAAAAATTCCCTAGTAAAATTGAAAACTACTAAACAATAAAAAAGAAAGAAAAATACTATTTCCGTAAGAGAAATAAAGATAGAGATATACTTCGTTGTAACGAATTCAAAACCGGACGAATTTCAACGATACCATCAAGTAAAGTCAATGAATAATTTATCGATGAATTATTCGCTCGTTGGCGCTGTTTAATTTGAAAAAAGAAAAAAAAAAGAAAGAGCGTGAGAACAACTTCTACACCCCTCGTCGTCTCGAGTCGATAACCTCGAAATTCGAAGGACCATGAATAAAAAAATAAAAAAAAAACAAATAAAATGATCTCGTAAGGAAAATGTAGACACTATTATTACTACTACTACTATAACTACTATCCACTAGCAATCGCTTAACTCTCCTTCATAGAAAGTTTTCTGGAACGGTAATTTCTCTCGTCGGGATTGTAGGTTCAAAAAAGTTTTACCACGTAAAAAAAAATGTAAGTCGGAGAAAGAGAACGGAGAGAGATGAAGAAAGAAAGAAGGAAAGAAAGGAACGAAAAATAAAAAGAGAAAGAAGTATATCGAGTTCGAGTCGGTCGAATGAGCGTGCGAAATCGGCGAACCTACCGTAAAAACTAAGAATCATCGTTTTTAAAGTACCATTCGATCATAAGAATACAACGAATCCTCGTTTCGTTACGGTGAAACGAATAAAACAACGGGTCACGGTTTTACGCACAACCAGATAGAGAAAGATAGACGATAATTGTCAAATTATATAAAAAACTAATAATACTAAACTATAATTATATTTTACTTGTAGAAAAATACAATATTCTATCGATATTCGATTAAAAAAATATTCCTTTTAGACAAATGAAAAATTTTCTATTGTTTTTCTCTCGAAAAGATATTATTTTTACATACTCGAGAATAATGAATTACTTTTAAAGAAAATAAAAAAAAAAAAATATATATATATATATATATATATATTTATATTCGTATTTGATAAGAGAAATTCATTTTTCGTTTGAAAGAAGAGAAATAAATAACTAGAGAGTTTTTATAGGTTATAGAAAGGTACGCCATGTGTGTGAGAGAATCATACAATGTTAAGACGATATATATAAAGTGTATAACTTGATTTGATATATTCTTTTGCTTTCTCCATTAACTTATACATTTACACACACGCATCAGATAAATACATATATACGTAATAATGTATATAACATATAAAGAGACCATACGCGTAAGCAGGAAGGTTCTCACGCGCGTCAAACGGAGCGTAAGTTTCGTCCATATGATATGGCACATAGGTACTTACTTATATATAAGTACATAGGGTTAGGGTATATGGTGCCTACATATGGGACGTTGTACATGCCAACATAAATACATAAAATATAAAATATAGATGTTGATATAAATATATTCTATATATTATTATAGAATATATATATATATATAGGTATAGATTATAACGTAGTTCGGCGCCTTTGCGCTCGCCGGCACTCGCCTAGCAGAAAAATCAATAACAAGCGTGGTATGGCATGGCGCGTCGTGTTCTCTCTCAGGTGCCCGCCCGCTCGGTCGTCTGCTTGGCTGCGCGAGAGGAAGTTGATGGCAGGAGAGGTGGCCAGCCAGCCAGCCAGCCAGCCAGCCAACCAGGAGGCAAGCAGGCAAGCAAGCAGGCTAGCAAGAAGGCTAGCAAGCAGGCTAGCAAGCAACAAACGATGGTAGCAAGCAGGCAAGGCAGGCAGGCAACCGATCGAGCGAACGCGAACGGTGGAAACGAGTCACCTGCGGCACACTGACGTACCTTGCGATCGAATTCTCTTTACCCCTCTCTCTCTTTCCTTTTCTCAAAGGTACACGCGTGACGGGAGCGCGCGATACCCTATCTTCCCAAGTATTACGTGTATAAATGTAGGTATAGGTGCGCGTGCGCGTGCGCGTGCACGTACACACACAACGTGTGTCGTCGTCGCGTCTGCGCTTACTAAAATGAACAGAAGAAGAGAAGGGGGAATAGGGGGGTAGGTATATACATTGACGGCGCGTGCAAGGTGGAACGAAGAGAGAATAAGAGAAGAAGGATGGGGAGAAAAAGAGAGAGAGAAAACGTGTATGTCAGTCCGCGCGTGCTCGAAAAGACGAAGAAACGGGGAGGCGGATAAGAAGAACGCGGAGAGTCAAGTGAAGGGTCGGTCGCTTGAGCGCTCGCGCGCGAGCACACGAAAGGCGCGGAGGAAGCGTTGCGTGTGTTGCTGCTGCTTCCGTCCGAGTGTGCGATACCTTTCTTAACATCATTGCTACTCTCCAATGAATATTAGCAAATGTATATGTTTATATCTAAACATATATATTCATGTTTTAATATTGTTATATATGTAATAATAATATTATGGGCGGCGCATACTGTAGAGTCATATTATTGTATACTACGTACCTCGTCCTCACCGGTGGCCACCGTGTTGACGGAGTCCATGCTCTGAGAGAGTGGCGCGTCCATCGTGCAAGCTAATTTGCCGGACGGTCCGGGTTTACCGGAAGCTGCGGTACGAGCGGGTGGCGGTGAAGAGTCCACCGTATCCCGTCTCGGGCGTTTTAAAGCGGGAGGCGTTATGGTTGAACCGGCGAAGACGACAGGCGCCTCCAGGACGTATCGGTGGAAGTAAACTTTCGAGGAGAAGAAATCGGCCCTTTTGCCACCACCCCCTCCTCCTCCTCCGCCTCCTCCTCCTCCTCCTCCTCCTTCACTGCCGCCCACTTCCGCTTCCTCCACTTCCTTTTCTTTCTAATTCCCCCGTTCCGTTCACTTATTCTTCCGCTTCTTACGATGTGCGTCTCCTTCTTAGTCTTATCCTCTTCTTCCGCTTTTACTTCTTCTTTTTGTTCTATTTCTTTTTCTTTTTCTTTTTTTTCTTTTTTTTCTTTTTCTTCTTTTTCTTCTTCTTCCTCCTCCTCCTCCTCCACCTTCGTCGCCGCCGCCGCCGCTGATGCCGCCTCCACCACCACTGCTACGTCCACCTCCACTAGCACTATCACCACTGTACCCAACACTACCAACAGCTAACCTTCTCTAGCAAAGGATGATACAACGACGGCACCAGCACTAGCACCACCTGCACCACCACCTCCACCTCCACCTGAACCTCAACCACCACGACCACCACCACTACCACCACCAGCAACGATGACAACTACGACCGAGGGCTAAGCGAGTCGCGGTGCTACTGGTCACCGTCGTATTACCCGATGCATGCACCTGTCACACGTTCTCTCCTTTCACTCTCTCTCCAATAAAAGGGTCTTTAAGAGTGAGCGTAAAAGTCAAGAAACCCAAATTATAACAGGAGGACGGCAGGATGATGAGGTTATCACCGATGTCCACAAGAGAGAAAGAGAGAGACGAGATGGATGGATGGATTAGAGATATATGATGGGCCCGCGAATAATGTCTACCTAGTCTGCAGGTGTTCCCACGCGTCTATTTTCGAGCAATCGATACACACCACATATATACGGAACAAACACACACGCGCGCACGCTGTCAGTCAGTGTGCAACTACTATGTTCCTCTTCTTCTTCTTCTCTTCACTTTCCTCTTCTTTTTTAATTGAACTTACAAAACTATTTGATATGTTGCAAATGAAGAAGAGCAATATATAATTGACGTGTTTTCTACCGTTGTATTCCTTGAATAGGTTTGACACCAACAACATCAAAGATGACAACAATAACAACGATCATTTGCCGATCATCATTGTTATTATTCCTTCCGACGATTATGACGTTTCGATTATTTCCATTGACATTCGAATAAGAGCACCTTACGTTTCTTTTTTCACCCCGATTATTATTAATTTCTAGTGAGCACAACATACGGTGTATCCAAACAAAAATTCTTTGTTGTTATCCCTCTTTTTGCAGGCCCCTCTCTCTCTTTCTTTCTGCCACTCCGTTAACGACGACGACGACGACGACGATGTCAACGATGCGGAGGAGGAGAACAACGTTCCGTCGTCCACAAAAGTATAGAAAAGCGCGAGGATGAGTACGCGCGCGCAGCTTTCCAAATGGGGGTTGTTGGTAGTGGTTATCCTTACTACTGATGTAACCGATGATCAGAATAAACGAGACAAACGATGATAATGTAATAGTAGTAGTAGGTGTGTGGGTATGTGAAGATACCTTCCTTCCGATGAACGCGCGTGGACGTAAAAACGGGACGCTTGAGAGAGTGTGTATATGTGTATGTATGTATGTATGTAGTAAGGCTAGTTCGTTATAAAAAACGAGCCAACGGAACGTCAAGTAAATATATATATATAATATCTATTTATATATTTATGTATGTATGTATTGTATATATATATATATATATGTAAAGATAATAACGACGCTGTTTCACGAGCACCGCGACACAATTGGTACGCAGGCTACCGATAGACTGACGGGCCATGAACGAGCGCAACGAGCGCAACGAACAACCAGGTGAGAGGGGAGTTGGTACGTGCGCGCGCGCGCAAGTGAGTGCAACACACACACGTTTGTGGGGTGTTAAGGCTTGTCGGTTCACCAACTACACCATCAGAACTCACCATTACTAATACCATTCCTACCTCTACCTTCAGAACTACCACCACCACCACCACCTCCTTCAGTACCACCACCACCATCGCAGGGATGAGGCGGCCTTACGATGAGCTTTCTGGGTCGGAGGAGGTAGACGCGAGAGCGCAGGACTTTGTATGGTTGAGGGTGAAAGGGCTGCTAGACTGGGGGGTGTCACGCGGTAAAATACGTCGAGAGGGGTCAACGGGGTGAGAGAGAGAGAGAGAGAGAGAGAGAGAGAGAGAGAGAGAGAGAGAGATGATATGCATCGCTATACTACCAAACATTCATGGTAAGGTCGCATACTACTACTACTACTGCTATTTTATCCTAAGAGCAAGGAATCATCTTACATTAAATGGTTTTACTACTACATGTATACATACATAGATATATTTTTGTTCATCTTTTTAGAATTGAGAACCTGTGTATGTTACAACTCTCGTTTTCTGTTTAGCCAAAAAAAAAGGTTCAAAAGTAAGATTGAAATGAACGAAGGATAAAATCCTTAATTGGAACTTGTGTTATATAATTTGTTTAATATTTTGATCAGTTGACAGATGCCTGACGTATCCAAGCAAAATAAGGTCCTAATCATTCCGTGGCTATATATTTTAATAGAACATCACGACAGGTGCACTTGGATCCGAAGGTTTCAAGCTTCTTCCGCATGTTTCCAGATATGATCGATGATTCTACGAAAATTCAGCTGTTCGAATTATGACTTGGCGAAATTTTGATCCTTCCTCGACGAGACAGGTGCATTGACGTCGATAGTTTCTGAAAAAAACACCTCACACACAAGCATACATACACATACATACATACAATTTATTTGATCGATGAACACTGTTCAATTTACACCTTAAACATTTACTGTATAAATTTTTAATTCAAATGATTTTTATATTTGCATATATATGCATCATGTAAATAAGGTGTTTTGATTTTTTTGGCGCGTATTTTGAAAAAAAAAGTTAAAAAACAAAGTAGAATTTTTGGTAACCACAAACATAGTACTCGGTCGATGCCATAAAACTGTAACGCTACCTTGTCGAAGAAAGATATCTTCTTCAATGTTTGACCTTACCATCTGTTACTACATTCGATTACAAATTTTGTCTATCAATTTTATTCCACGACCATACGAACACTCAATATAATTATTTAAAATCAATCCCACCAGACCGCGTTTGTTCAATATTTTAATATGAATAAAATTGAAAGAAGTAAAAGAACCTACTTAGGGAAAGGAGAAAAACCTTGAGATGTCGGATTGAAATACTTTCGTGTACATTTCCGCATTACATTGTATATATTTTTTTTGCTTTTCTATGCACCAATGCAATCGTGGAATGTGCACTTTTGTTACATAATAAATAATATATTCTATGAATGAGAATTAGTTTATTTTTCAAGTTAATTGATAAATTAACAACGCTGAATTTTATGTGGTAGGGTTATTTGTTTCTAATTTTCAATTATTCGAAAAATATATCTTTTTGAAGATGAAACTATGTAGATTAAAAAAATTATTTTTAGAAGTTTTTTTATATATTTTTTTTGTTACTTAATGTTACTTCCAATCGATAATATCGTGCAGTTGCTATCTGCATCTGTTGACGGTAACGTTGGAAACGACCATAAATCAAAGAATATAGAGAATTTATTTATATATAAGAATATAGAATATATTATTTACATAATGTAATAAATTTCTGTGGTTATATTTGTTCAATTTATCTGCATTATGTTATATTGTGATATTAAAAATAAAACCTAAATAAAAAATAATTGCAAAAATATTTAAAGATGTATAATTTATTGCTGACCTTATCAACGTAATCTTTATCAACTTTTTTTACGTATTATGTTTTTTTATTTTTTTTTTTTTAATTACTATCAGTACAGAAGTTTACATTATATACATATACATATTTATATATGTTTTTTTTTTTTAAATAATGTTGAGATAATATTTAAGAATATATAATTTTCAGAAACGCATAGTTACATAACAAATAAAATTATACGATCATACGTTCAAAAATAATAAATATGCATGTTATTGCGATATTTCTTTTTTTTGTGTGTGTAGATATTTTGATTAAAGTATAGATGACCAATGAATATAAAAAAGCTTTACCCTATGGCATATAGATAACATTTATATCATATGAATCACATGGGTTATGCCTAGTCAAGTCTAGACCAAAAAAATAAAACTAACATCCGCGTATAGATTTATCTAATTTAATAGAAAATATAACATATTAAATAATACATTTTAATAATATTCCAATATATCATATAACGAAAATCATCATACGACAAAAATAACCTTAATTATGTTTCATTTAATAAATCTAATTAAAAAAGAGACAAAAGATATTCCATATAATAATAACATTATCAATTAAATTCAAATATTTCGTGGATAACATAAATGATAAGAACTCCCTCAAAAAAATTTACATACTACCGGAAAACTATTATTTCTCAATAATCTTGTCACTCTCAAACTATCTGTTTGAACTCGTGATTGTTATTAATACTAATTTAAAAAATAATAATTTAATCTATTTTTAAACAATATTAATGATAAAAAGATATTAGAATATTCCAAGTAACAAATATGAATTTTATCGTGAGTAAATTTTTTGGTTCTACAAATTTATCAAACTTTTCCATTGTTTCAGTTATCGACCGAGACATTGATTTGACTCACAGCTTACAAAATACTACGTGAGGGTTCCTTCGATCATTTTCTTTATCCAACATAAATACTTTTTATTTAAAACAAAAAGAAAAAAACTATCTTTCACGTATGAAAAAAAAAAAAAAATTATATATTGTTTGACAATTTTCTGATTTAAAGAATGATATTTAATATTATTTTTTTGTCTTCTTTTAAAAATGGTGGAAACAATTCGATCGAAATTTCTCGAACTCGTTTATATTCATCGAATTTTCTTATCATAACTAGTTCAAAAATATACAACAATGTTTTATTTATGAATTTTTTGTTGAATTTCATTTTTTCTAAACGGAGAAACGAATATAAATTATTTTATCGTACCGTTAGATGATTGAATTTTGAATTATCAAATAGGTACGATTGTGATATCAGTAGTTGAATGTACGAACATATATATATAAAGGGGAAAAAGGGGAAAAAAGGGGGAAAAAGGGGAAAAAAGGAACGGAATGGAAAGATAGATACTTTTCCTTATGTCAATATAGAAGAGGGAGGTGACAGGTCAAACTCCGTGAAGTCAGATAGCTTGCTTGCGTTTGAACAACGATATCAACATGCAGCTATTTTAACGTAGAATATATTTAGAATTTTTTTTCTTTTTTTTTTCTTTTTCTTTCTTGCTCTCATGTATTAAGTTTTCTTCTGAACTTCTACCATATCCTAATGTCAATTTTTAAACTGTTTACCCGACTAAACTTGTTATTATACTTAAGTCAATTCAAGACTAACGATATAGTATAAAATAAGAAAATATTTCTCTCTTTATAAACTTTGTACTTTGATTTAAATTTTTGAAAAACAAATTTTGAAAAATAAATTTGAAAAATAAATTAGAAAAATAACTTCAAATGATTTGATTATATTGCCTTGTTACACGACAATCTATGTTTGTTTGATCTTTTTCTATTTTATTATTTGAACAATCAATTCATATTTGATATAAAATTTTTTTTTCCATAAAGTAATAAAAAAATATACCATGAGAAAAATTCAAATTTAAAAAATCCAAAGTAATACTAAATCGTGTATAATATCTCATATTAAAAATTAGAGAAATGTAGCTCCAATTAAAAAACTTCTTCTTTCTAGTGCTTCAAAAATTACCAAAAGTTCGACTACAGTTTTTTACTTGTACAAAAAAACAAATAAAATATCTCAAAGTTTTGCGTTTTTTTATATCTTAATAAAAAATGAAATATGATCGAGATTATAAAGTTTCGTATAAAAAAAAAAATAACTCCATTAAAATTTATATAAAATGTAAACGAAACATAATATATATAAACTATTATATAAAATAAATTATATAATAGCAAATATATAATTATAAATTACTAATATAAAATATAATATATATATATATATAAAAATTATATTATATAAAATATAATTTACAATATAATATATTATTTTACAATAAAATAATTATATATAATATATAATAATAATAATAATAATAATAATAATAATAATAATATAATTATAAATTACTAATATAAAATAAACAATAATTTAAATAGTATTTAAATAGTATTTAATATTATACTATTATAATAGTTTATATATATTCAAATATTATAATATTATATTTAATATTAAGTAATATTATAAAAATAGTATTTAAATAGTAAAATAAACAATTTAATTTATTTATTTTATAATAATAAACATTTTATAATTTTAAAATTAAATTTATTTTAAATAATAAAAAAATTTATATTAAAAATAAATTATTATAATAATAATGTATACTAATAAATAATTAAATATAAAAAGTCTATAGTATACAATATTATACCTATAACTAAACTATTTATATTTTCTATGTTTTGATAGCACGTAAAAAGTAACAAAATAGTACATTTCGAAGAAAAATAATAACAAAGATAAAAAATAATAATTTAATCGTTAAAAAAATTGTTTAAAAAAAATCTTTGATCTTGAATTAATATGATAAAATATGTATCCATTTTAATGACTCAAACTATAATATTACACTAGAACAATTTCTGTGTAAATAAATGAAATTTTTTAATTTTCTTGAATAATATCCTCCCCACGAGTTCCTCTTACCCCACTATATTTATTCATCGTGTCTGAGCAACTCTTTCCTGATTACCCCCACCAACCCCCTCTTCTTGGTTGGTTCCCCCCGTTGTTCTTATTCGTCATCGTTATCTTATTCGTCGAGCGAGTAAATGAAATAGAGGGTACGTACGAAGGTTAGACGTGTTAACTCGCTTTGCCCCCGAGAAGTAAGGTGGGGGGACAGTGGGTGGGTTAAGGAAAGGGGTAGGGGGAAGTAGCTGAGAGGGCGGAAAGACGGGGGAGGTATTGGTTTGATAGAAGGTACGAGAGCATAAAAGCACGCACGAACAAAATTACCGAAGCTTTTATTGTGTGATCTCGCGGCCACTTCTCTTTCTCTCTACGTGTTACACACGTTCTCTCTTAAAATCATCTATTTTTCATCTCACACAATTATTCAAGTGCTGGACTTACGGAAAAGTTCAGAAAACGAGAGAATAAATCAAAAAATCGGCTGCGGAAACATCATGGGACATCCACCACGGCTCTTAAGGGCCATATTAATCTTTGGTTTTGTCCTATTATCCCTTAGTTCGGCATCTGCTAGTAAGTTTATTAATCAATATTATAATAATATAATATATATGTATATATATAATTTTTTTTCTATAGAAAATTATGAATTTAAAGTAGCTTGGATTCGTTTAATTTATTAATTTGATATTTGTCGATGTTATTTTTATTTTTGTGAATGCATTACGTTAATCTTATATTTTTCTAACGAGTTTTATTACATTTTTTGATTATATATATTTTTTTTAATATATATATTATATATATTTTATTAAATTATATAAATATATATATTATACTAATATATTATATACATTATTTTAAATTCTATAAATATATATTATATTACTATATTAAATTATATAAATATATATTATATTATTATATTATATTATATAAATATATATTATATTATTATTCTAAATTATATAAATATATATATATATATAATATTATAATATTAAATATATTATTTTATATTTATTATATTGTAATATGATAAATTAAATAAATTATATTTATGTATATATATAATATATTATATTATATTTTATATATTAGGGAGAACCAAAAATTCGTGCGTGGTATTTTTTTTATATTATTAATATAAATATAAATTATATATATTAAATTATATATTTAAAAAAAATATATATTTTGTACAGTTTATAAACAAATTTATAATACAATAAACGTACGAACTTTTGATAACCTACCTAATATATTATTTATAACAATATCTTTCTCAAAGATATTTTTTTTTTTTTTTTTTTTTTACAAAATTCGTGTAATTAATATTTCGATCTTTTAAATGCATTCACATTAAAATATATAATATACTCTATCAAAAAGTAATACTAGAATATTCCTATGAAAAACTATAAACATTACTATATATGCTTGAAATAATATAATACAATAATTAATATGCACATTTTATTTCTTTTATATTATTAAAATATATTCAATACTAATATAAATATTCACCCTAAGATAAATGCATTTTTGATACCACGTGGAAATGTTTAATATTAACATAAAAATATTTTTTTATATAATTTTATTATAATTAAATCATTTTTCTAGAATATACGAAATAAAAAAAAAGAATGTCCAAAATTTTTAAACGATATTCATTTTAATTAATATTAAAGTTTAATTAAAAAATATTATTAAATATATTATAATAAAAAAAAAATATTCTTAATGAATTTTGAAAAAAAATCAATTCACTGTAAAGATTATCAATGAATACTGTTCAGAAAAATTATGATGAATCATAAAAAGGTTACACTTCTTATATTAAGGTTAAAGATTAGTTTAGCACGAAGATGTTGAAATGTAAAATTATAATCTAAACAAAATTGAGATGATAAAGTTAAACGATACTAATATCACGAATAATATCTTAAATTAATAAAGGGGCGAGAGTGTAGAGAAGAGAAAAGAAGAGAAGAGAAAGGAAAAGTAGACAGAGGGGGAAGCTAAAAAAAAAAACAAAATGAAGAACATAATTAATATCTCATCTCATTATGACGAAATCATTCGAAATAAATCAAATATCATTCATTGATAAATTTATTAAACGTTAAATCATAATTCGCAGAAAACATGAAATATATTACATTTCGATTTTAATTGTAAAAAATTAAATGTTAAAAAATGAAGAAAAGGAACTTTGAAAAACCCTTGAAAAAAAATTATACCTTATAAATAAGGTACGAATTGAATAAAATGAATTTTGTATAAAATGAATTTCGGGACGTAATTTTTATGGAGTAATTAAAGGAGTAATAGTAAATTAAATATATATATATATATAAATGCATGTTGGTAAAGTATATCACTGCATAGTACGATGTCTGTAACGTTCAAGTGATTACACGACCCTAGGGTTGGACCGGACGTTTGGTAAATTGATCTAATGTCCCTGCTATCATCCTACCATCGTCAATTCCCAATAGTCTTTTTATTACTTAGTAGAGATGTGTAACCCCGTTATGGTTTTTCAACTATATGATATATTTGAATTCTCATATTAATATATAATTTTGCATATAATATATAATGTTTAGATATATATAATGTATATGTTATTACCCTGTTATGGTTTCTCAACTATATGATGTATTTGGATTCTCATATTAATATATAGTGTTACATTTA